AATTATAGTCTCAGGATTAAGACCATGGGTTAGCAGAATAGAATATTGATTATATCTGAAATTTTGGGTTGGTTCCTATCTTTTCTCTTCTCTTGAACCTCTAGGTATTCTATGTCTGGTTTGATGCTACTATTGGCTACTTGTCCATCACAGCCAACTACACAGACCAGTGGGAACAATGGTGGAAGAACCCAGAGCAAGTGAGCAGTTCTTGGTTAGCCTGTTTATGGAGAGGGCATATGAAGGAGGGCATGTATGACAGGGTATCTGGTCTTTTTTGGACTTTTGAAGAAAGTCTCAGATCTCTCTCAACTATATTCCCTAGGTGGACCTTTACCAGTTCATGGCCAAAGACAATGTTCCTTTTCATGGCTTAGTCTTTCCTTGTTCAGCCCTAGGAGCTGAGGATAACTACACCTTGGTCAAGCACCTCATTGCTACAGGTAGGTACCCTAGAAGAAAGCGGATGGGCTGTTGGAATGAGAACTAAAGCAGTATTTGGAAGAAGATCCTGTGAAATGCTAGGTCTTGAGTTAGTATTGATATGGATTAGGAAATAATTAAAACTTGAGAACTTCATCCAGAAAAAGGAATCAAGATTCTGAAGAAAGCAAAAGACCAAAGCAAAAATTTTGTATTACATATGAGCAAAGAGAAAAAAGGTCAGAATGGATAGGAAAGGATCCCAAGCTATTCAAGGTGAGGTATTTTTGGACATCCACCATTAATGTTGAAGGAAAGGGAAGAATTACTGGGTCAGAGAGGGGAGTGATATTTGAGCAGATGGTTCTCATTTTTCTCTGTCTAGAGTACCTGAACTATGAGGATGGGAAATTCTCTAAGAGCCGTGGTGTGGGAGTGTTTGGAGATATGGCCCAGGACACAGGGATCCCTGCTGACATCTGGCGCTTCTATCTGCTATACATTCGTCCTGAGGGCCAGGACAGTGCCTTCTCCTGGACAGACATGCTGCTCAAGAATAATTCTGAGCTGCTTAACAATCTGGGCAACTTCATCAACAGGTGGGAGTTGGTAAGGGGTTAGAGTCAGCAGCAGAGCTGAAATGTCCCAATTCTCCCTCCAGAGATAAGAATATAGAGAGAATATGTAGAGACATTGTGGAAAACTGATTTCTTTAAGTTGGACTCTGCTCCCAGCACATAGTAGGTAAAGTATACTTTGGAAAGAGAGAGAAGATTTAGCAAAGTTGTCACAGAGGGATTTTAACATAATTGTTTTCTAACTGATGTTCATTGAAGAAATGATATATTTTATCCTCACAAAAAAAAGGTTCATTTGCAGGCCACTGAAAAGTTTGGCTGAAGAAAGGGGTTATTTCAGTGTAGTGATAGGAGGCTTCTGCTCTACTCTTCAGAGTTGTTACATTAGGGTCACATTTCTATTCTTTGTCCCTATCACAGTGATTCTGCAGTCTGAAGAAATCTCCATGACTTAGAGTTTTTCTGTTCCTCTCTTTGAGCCCTAGGCCGTTAGCTCAGTTACTGTTTACTCTTTCAGGTTTTTTTCATTAACCATCTTGAACAGATAGTCTTCTTTAGAGTGTTTGATAGCAATTAACACATAATAAATTTAAACTTGAGGGTTGGGGTTGTGGCTCAGTGGTAGTATGCTTGCCTCACATGTATGAGGCCCTGGGTTTGATCTTCAGCACCACATAAAAATAAATAAAATAAAGGTATTTTGTTCATCTACAATTAAAAATATTAAAAAAAAAATTTTTAATTTGATCTTTTGTTGTTGTTTGTTTTTTGTACCGGGAGTTGAACTCAGGGGCACTCAACCACTAAGTCACATTCCCTGCCTTTTTTTTTGGATTTTATTTAGAGACAGGGTCTCACTGAGTTGCTTAGGGCCTCACTAAGTTGATGAGGCTGGCTTTGAACAAGTGATCCTCCTGCCTGAGCCTCCTGAACCACTGGGATTATAGGCGTGCACTACTGTGCTTGGCTTAACTTGATCATTCTTAAAAATTTACTTAAAAGCAAAATGTATAGTTGCTTAACTTGATTAGGTTTCTTCATTTGAAGAGTCACATTTTTAGGGGCGAGAGAATAAAGGCTTAATTTGTTAAGCTTTGCCTTTTAGTTTGAGGGGCCAGGAAGCATGTTAATGTGGACAGGAATCCTGAGAGAATGAAAAGTTGTGGAAAGTGTCAAATATTTATAAGGAGACTGGCCAAATTTTTTTTCTCCTCCTCTTCTCTATCTCTATTAAGAGCTGGGATGTTTGTGTCTAAGTTTTTTGGGGGCTGTGTGCCTGAGATGGTGCTTACCCCTGATGATCAGCGCCTGCTGGCCCATATTACCCTGGAGCTCCGACATTATCACCAACTGCTGGAGAAGGTTCGGTAAGTAACTTACACAGCTCTGCCTCTTAGGGTTTGCTGGCATGTCAAGAGACTCATATACCTTGGACTGCTTCCTTTCTTCCCAGGATCCGGGATGCCTTACGCAGTATTCTTACCATATCTCGACATGGTAACCAGTACATTCAAGTGAATGAGCCCTGGAAGTGGATTAAAGGTAGTGAGGCTGACAGGTATGTTAAAGGGGTAGGGGTGTCTATAGAAATTAGATGGCTGATAGGCTATGTCCTCCTGGAGGTCTTGATTAAATCTCTCTTCTCCCTAAGGCAGCGGGCAGGCACAGTGACAGGCTTGGCAGTGAATATAGCTGCCTTGCTGTCCACCATGCTCCAGCCTTTCATGCCCATGGTTAGCACCACCATCCAGGCACAGCTGCAACTCCCGCTTCCAGCCTGCAGTGTCCTTCCCACGAACTTCCTGTGTACTTTACCAGCAGGGCACCAGATTGGCACGGTAGGTCTCCCAAGAGTTGGAGGGCCAGTCTCTCAAAATTCATGCTTTTGCCATGTGACTGTTGGGATGATGTTAGAATAGACCTAACATTCTCTTGTTCTTTGCTTTTGGTGCAAGAGCTCTTATAGGTCTTCTGAACCCCTCCTCATTCTGCAATTGGGTGTGCTTGTGATACAAGGTCCTTGGTACTGGTTCACAAGTTCAGTGTTATTTTTTTTTGGTTTTCATGCTAAAACCGTACCTGGCACATAAAAACTAACTGGTATACAGCCATTTGAAGAAATACCACGATATTATTGTTTCCATAATACTAGTAGGCAGTGCGGCAGAGAGAATACAGGAGTATCCTATTACTCTTTGACACAGGATTACTACAGAGTACATCTAAAACTTCTGGATTGACCTAGCATCATTAAATAGTTGAAATACTTTCTGATCCTATCAATACTTTGGGCTTTCTGAGGAATGCTTTTTCTGAATTCTTTTCTTAACCAGTAGGTATTTGCTTAGTGTTATGTTCCTTCTAAGACTTTTTTTTGGGAGGGCCAGTACTAGGAATAACCAGGCCTCATTCACTCTTCCATGCTGGGCAGATGATCTCCTGCTGAACTGCATCCCCAGCTCTTTATTGTTTGAGTTGGCCTTGAACTTTCAGTTCTCCTGCCTCTGCATTATCAGGTAGAATAAGCAAATGCCATTATAAAATATATCTTTCATCTTAAAAGAGTCACTTTGCAGTCTGATCTAAACCTCAGACAGTAGTCTTCCATCATGCAAAGAAACTACAAACAGGCTGGCTCCGTGGCACATGCCTGTGATCCCAGTGGCTTGGGAGGCTGAGGCAGAAGGATCTTGAGTTCAAAGCCAGCCTCAGCAACTTAGTGAGGCCCTAAGCAACTAAGTGAGATCTTGTCTGTTTAAAATTCACACAAAAAAAGGGCTGGGTATGTGGCTCAGTGGTTAAGTACCCCTGGGTTCAAGCCCCAAAACCAAAATCTAATTTTTTTTTTGGTATAGATGTACACAATGCCTTTATTTTATTTTTATGTGGGTGTTGAGGATCAAAACCAGTGCCTCATACATAGTAGGCAAGCACTCTGCCGCTAAGCTACAGCCCCAGCCCCAAATACTCCATCTTAAGAAAACAAATTGCTATTCTGGGATTAATACCCTGAAAACACCTAGTTCCTTATGAAAGTGACACAAGGACCCTTCCCCACAATCTCCTAACTGCAAAAATCCCTCTCCTCCCATTATCTAGTTGGGCTATAAGTGGAAGAGGGTTTCAGTGTCCACTGGGCCCCCTCCACAGGTTTGTCCAGAATCAGTCTGTTACTATTAACTCTCCATTTCCTTCATTTGCTTCTTTCCTTTACATATATTTCCTGCGATTACAGGTGTGTGCCATGGTACCTGGGAGCATTAAGGATTTTTAAATGTCAAGAGTAGGGTTGGAGAAGCCCATTATATAGTTTGGTAGAGTTCATATGTAAGCAGTGAATGATTCTGAAATTCTCTTTCACAGGTCACTCCTTTGTTCCAAAAACTGGAAAATTACCAGATTGAAAGTTTGAGGCAGCGCTTTGGAGGGGGCCAGGTGAGAAAGCTAGACTATGCCCTCACCTAACAGCCACAGCAGCACCTTAATTCTCCCAAGTAGTATTCCCTCATCACACTTTCCATCTTTTGGCCCTGCTACTTCCTTTTAATTTTTCTTTCCTATCTTAGCTAGAAGAGTCCTTGAGTTAAAAATCACTTTTTTAGAGATCAGGAGATGTTTATGGCAGCCAGTGATAACCCAGTTTTTCTTCTCTAGGCAAAAGTATTCCCCAAGCCAGCAGTCGTAGAGACTGTTACAACAGTGGGGCCACAGCAGATACAAATGCTTATGGATGAAGTGACAAAACAGGTATGAAGCTGAAGCCCATTGGGAGACTGGAAAAAGCTGAATCCTAAACAGACTGTTACCTGGTCTCACTGTTACTCTCTCCACTCATCCTTCTCTTAGGGCAACATTGTCCGAGAACTGAAAGCACAAAAGGCAGACAAGAACCAGGTTGCTGCGGAGGTGGCTAAACTCTTGGATCTAAAGAAACAGTTGGCTCTAGCTGAGGGGAAACCTCTTGAAACTCCTAAAGGCAAGAAGAAAAAGTGAGAGAGCTCATAGAAAGTCTTTAATGGATATGGACAGTTAATAAATAAATGTATTATCTCTATATACAAGCTGAGACCCTTTGCTTTTGTCTCCCCCAATCCTTCCCCCAACTGGACATGTGTTGAAGGTCACATCATTGACACTGATGTGAAAGTGGTCAGTAGCCACTTCAGGGTAAGGTAGGTAGTGGCCCCAGTTGGGGAGTGATGGTTCCAATTGTTCAGGCTTGGTGTAGATTAACCATTCGGTCAATTAGAGCACGGCGTGTGGCTTCTACTTCCTGAGTCAGGCGCTCTATTTCCTGCTTGAGCCGTTCATTTTCTTCAGTTAGCTGTGCCACTTTCCTTTCATTCTCTTGTTCTTTTTCCTTCATGCGTTGCTTTCCAGCCCGGGCTGGCCACTGGCCACTCTGTTTCCGTTTCCTAGTTTTTCCTTGGTCTTCCTCCTCTTCTTCCTGAGCCAGGGAGCTCTGACTGGAGTCTGGAGAGTGAGGACTCTGGGAGATGCTTGTGACTTCTGCTGGTCCTGGCTCCCCAGCCAGCCAAGCCAGAGACGCAGGGTTAAGAGTGGTGAAGGTTTTTGATTCTTCCTTCAAAGAAATGAGGAAAGGAAGGGCAGATATTAGTAGAGAAAGGAAAGATAATATCCCCTCACTTTAGAATTAGCATTCTCACCTCTTCGTTTCTAGGGGGTGAGATATAAGCACCCCCGTTTTCATCTGAAGACAGAACCTCCTGCAGATCCTCATACCAGGCTTCCAGCTCCCAGCTGGACACCGTCCCGAAGGAGAAAGGCAATGACTCAGCTGCCATCTCTGCAGATGGATCAGGTTCTGGAAAAGTACATACTCAGTATAAAAGTTCCACTTGGCAAACAAAGTCTATACCACAGGTTGGCAAAATGATCTGTAGGTGAAAGTTTTATTGGAACACATTTATTTATTTACATACTGTTTATGACTGCTTTAATGTTACAATAGCAGAGATTAATAGTGATAACAGATGCTACCCAAACACATATTCTTATGAGATCCTAATGAAAGTTCTCAGCCCACATGGGAACTCTATAGGTACTTTTAAGGGGCAATTACCAGGCTATTTGTGCTCCTTTCTGTGTGGGGATTTTGGGTAAAAGGTCCTTTGAGTCCATCTAACTTCAAGGAAGACTGAAGATGAGCAAGGCAAACCAACTGTCTTTGCTAGGGCCGACTTTGAGAGCAGCTTTCAATTAGGAAATGCTCTAAAAATAGTGATTTGGTCACCATGTTGTTAAGGGGCAGGCTAGAGGGATAGACATGACCTGACAACAAAAGCTTGTTGAGATTCAAACCTTGCTCTCCTTCTTTAGGCTGGGTCTTCTAGTAACTTCTTAGGATCCCAGCAAAGGGAGCCTAAGCAGCTTTTCCTTAGGAGTTGGTTTTGGAAAAGAGTTGTGAAGTTTACCTTCTTTCAGGTGTGGTGATGTATGAAGATACACTTCCTTCTGGAACACTGTGGAACAAAGAGAAATGTCAGCCATTTTTGAAAGGAGAGGCAGATTCTTTACTTCTAACCTCTTACTGGTCTTGTGGAATATGGATAGTTAAAAGGTCCTATAGCTATTTCCAAGGACAGAAGAGAGCTCTGCTTCCTTTATTTTTAGTTGTGACATGTGACATTTGTAGTCCTGATTACATAAGAGCAAAGTCCTGGCCAACTCAGTTTCTCTAAATTTAAGGCAGCCCTCAAACATGTCCAGTAAGGGCTAAGAGAACAATTCTAGTGGCATTTTCCTAATTCTATTTCTGCACTTATATGGTCCAAATGTACATTTCTATTTCTCGTCTAGGACCTTCAACTCTGCTGTGTACTGCCTACTTACCATCTCCTTTTGGATGTGTAACAGGCATTTATATTAAGTCCAAAGACAATCTCCTGCTGACCTTTCCCTTCCAGGGTCATCTCCATTTCAAGATGGTTAAGGCAAATATCTTGGTGTCATCCCCTCTCCCCTCACACTTGACAATCCAATCCACAGCACTAGCAAATTCTCTAATTTTTTTTCTTTTGTATTGGGGATTGAGCCCAGAGAGGCTCTACCACCTAACTATATCCCTAGCCTTGCCTTTTTAAATTTTGAGACAGGGTCTCACTTAAGTTGGCAAGGCTGGCCTCCCAACTCAGCAATCCTCATTCTTTAAAAATACGCAGACCCTTGTTTTCAAATGAAGATCAATTAACTATCATCTCTCCTCATTACCTTGGAAACTTCCTTGCAGGATGTCTCCCCATTCTGCTCTTGCCACCACTCCCTAAGTCTATTCACAACATAGCACCTCAAGTGAGCCTTTTTTTTTTTAACCTTTTTTATTTTTTTAATGTGCTGAGGATCAAACCCAGGGCCTTGCCTGTGCTAGGCAAGCGCCCTACCGCTGAGCCACAACCCCAGTCCTCAAGGGAGCCTTTTGTGATGATGATGATGGTGCATTTTACTACTAAGCTACATCCCTAGCCCTTTAAAAACTTAAGTAATGTCTTTGCTTTGAATCTTCCAATGACTTTCAATTTCATGCATATTAAAAACATCCTCAAAATGGCTTGCAAGGCCCTACAGAATTTGCTTCTTGTCTACAAATTGTTGAGTTTTCATAGGCCACTCTCATCCTTGCTCACTCCAGCCCACCTGGCCTGTTCCTAAAGATACTGCCATACTGCCATTTTAGGGTCTATGCTCTAGCTGTTCCAACTGGAATGCTCTTCCTTCCATAGTATCTGCATGGCTCACTGGCTTGCCTCTTTCAGGTCTTTATTTTTTGATATTGTGGATTAAAACCCAGGGGTGCATTACTACAGGGCTATATCCCCAGCCCTGTTATTACTTTGAGCTGGGGTCTATTTAATGGCTGAGGCTAGCCTCCAACTTGCTATTCTGGCCAGCCTCCAGAGTCATTGGGATTACAGGTGTGCACCACTTGCCTGGTTTAGGGCCTTTCATTTAAATGTTATCTCAGTGAGGCAATCCCTGGCCAACTGATAAAAAACTAACCTCCACCCTGAACATTGTTTTTTCCTGCTTAGTTTTCTCCATGTCAATTATGGCTTCCACTGCAGAATATTTTTTTCTTATTTAGAAATACACTTTGAGCCCCAAACTTCTTGACACATAGTAGGTGCTCATTAAGTATATAAATGAATGTAAATCTCCCGTCCCAATCTCACTTATAGGGAAGACTAAATCCAGAGCTGCCTGTCCCTCGAGACTGGAGATGCAATATTGCTCCGATTATTTCTCTACATTGCTGTCCTCTCAGGGGAACAATTCCTTGCCTTCTAGTGTGGGGACTTGGCTTTCATCAGCAGTGGAGCACCAGGCCAGAGGACTGCAAAGCCAAACAGTAGGGCTGGCCTGATGCAATGGTTACACAGAGATTAGTTGAGAGACAGTACGGGGGGGGGGGGGGGGGGGGAAGAGGAAGGGATCAATCCCAGGAGAAGGGGAATACCCTAGGGAAAACCCAAAGGGCTTCCCACTTTTAGAAAGATCCAAGCTGATCTCTCGTGCGGGAGGCCAAGAGACCTCTGGGGAAAATGAAAAACCCATCTCTCCCTGTCCATCAGCACCCCTCCTCTCCAAAAGTTGTGTGCAGAGTCCAGGATCCCCAGCTACCTCAGTGGACATGCTGACCCCTGGAGGTGCTGTAGTTGAGACAGGGCTGAGGGTGGGGGGGCGGCGACAAGGAGAATGCCCACAATGGCGAAAGGGCGGATACAGAACTGAGCTACAGGTCACCCAATCTCAGAGCAGGGGTGTGTCCTGCTGCCCCGCCTCTCACCGGACAGGCCTACAGAGGTTGCCTGGAATCGGCTACGAGACAGAATGAATTTCCCGAGGGCAGCGGGGATCCTTCAGCACAGAAACGGAACCACACTCCGGAAAAGGATTGGGGTGACGTTATCGCTCAAAGTTAGGAGGGGCCTGCCTGTAAACACAACTCCTGAATAAAGAATTCTCCCCAACCCTCGAATGGTTCCTAAGATCGCTGAGGCAGGGCATGGACCCGTATTGTAAAGAGCAGATGCCCAACTTTTGAGGGAACAACCGATGTTCGCGAAGAAGAAAAGGTAAAGGGTGGATAGGGAGTCAATACTCACCTTTCTCCTTAGGATCCGGAACTGATTTTGGCTTTGTCGCTGCCACCCGCTCATCTTCAACATCATATGCTCTGCGTCTTACACCCAAGCTTCTGACCTCGTACCCTGGAGCCGGGATCTTTTATGGTGGCCTTGCCCTCCTCCCATGGGCGGGATCCAGAATTTTACCAATCAAAAAGCTGCACGCCGGCATTTGCTCCGCCTCATCCCTCATATCCGCCACTCAGCAGCTCTGCAGCACCACCCTCATCGCTACCTCCCACTTGGGGGTCGACGTCTTGTTGGACCCGGAAGTGGCTTTGGGTCACGAGGCTTCGCGGAGGCGGTGGGTGAGTCATGCGCGCGCGCTGAGGGGAGTGTGAAGGGGGGAGGGGAGGATAGGGGGGGCGGGGATGATGCAATGTTTGGCAACCGGTGTCTGCGCGCGCACGCGCAGGGGACAACGAGGGTGGTGGGAGGTACGGGGGGTGGGGGAGAGGAGAGAGGGCGGGGCGCCAGCTCACGGCACCCAACGGCTGCAACGGCTCTCAACTGTGGCCGCCCCTAGGCTGCCTTGTGGAGGCTTATCGCATCTTGTCTCCCCCAAGAACTGCCATTGTGTCACCTAGCGTTACCCCCATTTTACCTTCCCATAAGGGACTTCCATTTGCCTTGACCCCTCCCTAGATAATGAGCACTTCGGCCCTTGAACCTTCCTCCTTTGAAAGTTTGCATCCGTCCGCCTAGATTGACATCTGGAGTCTTCTTAAAGGGATCTCCTCTTTTAGCTTCCCAATATTTCCAAAATATGCCGAGGTACTGGAACCCCCTAGGTCGTCCTTTTTCACTTCTCTCAGAAAAGCACCCTTGCCTTGATTCTTGGAGTTTCTGACTAGCCCTGGATATTTCTAGAATTCATGTTCCTAATCTGAACAATTCAATTCTGTTTTCCCCGCTTTCACCCACCCCGCCAATGGTGCTCTGGTGCCCTTCATCAAGGATCACGACCCCTCCCTTCCATTGTCCCAGATAACAAGTCCTGTGACTCCCTGCTGAGGAGCTGAGCTGGGGCCAGCCTCCCAGGTGTCTAGGGTCGTGACCTCTACCGTAGAACCTCTCTACCTGGGACGTGCACGCACTTTAGCTCACGACTGCTTTGGACTGGGTTGCCAGAGTCTAGTCTCAGTTTCCCCTCGCTTGCCCAGGGATCCTGACGTTCTCATTTGTAAATTAAATATAATGAGTGGCGAAAGTAAAACGAGAGAACTATGCACTTGGAGACAACTTAAAAGTAAAAAGCACCATGTAAAATATTTTTCTTATGCTTTGAAAACAGGCCATTGTGGTGGCCTTTTACATATCCTGTCATACCCTCATGGGGGCAACCAGAGTTTGTCTAAGAACAAGTGTCCCAAGGCCGGTTGCGACTATTTGGTATAGTAGTGACAGGTCTTTGGCCAGGCTGTTCCGTTGCTCTAGACCTCCATTTCCCCTTCTGTAAATGGAGGTGGGGGTTGGTTGGACCAGATGGTCTCTTCTGGCCTAAAGACAGACCAGGTTGTCAGTGACAGGGAGAGGTCATGTGACTTGACAGGCCGAGGTCGTGTTGTGACATGTTGACCTGGGGAAGGCGGGTCAAGTCCCAGCACACTACTCGGGAAGCCTTTGGGGCGGGGCGGGGCAAGTCGCGACTTTCATCTTTTGGGGCCGGCCCCGCCCGGATCTGGCATTCCTGGCTCCCCCAACAAACTGTGGCGTTGGAAGGGGCCCCTCCCCGAGGAAGGCTGGGATTGGCCACCGGTGGCCTGGGCACAGATCCTTCCGCGGACGGCGGGGGGGGGGGGCGCGTGGGGTGTTTGTTCTCTTGGGGATTAATGGGAGGTTGTGGGGGAGGGGTAGGCGCGCTCCCGCATGCGCACTGCAGCCCCTCCTGTTGGCTCGCTGCTGTCCGCTGGGCGGGGGCCCGGCCCCGCCCCTCTCCCGTCCGGGCAGCGGCGGCGGCGGCGGCTGCGGCGGTGGCGGCGGCAGCGACGGCGGCGGCGGCAGCAGCCTGCGCGGTGCCTTCTGGGAACGGAATCCCCAGGGCTGCCCCTGGCCCCTATGGCGCATGCGCGGGAGGCCGCTCGGTGATCGGCGGCGGCGGCGGCGGCGCTTCCTGCTAGGACCGGCCGGGGCTGTACCGGAGGCTCGGGCTCCACCGACCCTCCTCCCACCCCCTCCCACTCACCCTCTGGGCCGCGACTGCGCAGGGCGGGGCCGGCCGAACCATGGGCCGCGGTGAGTGCGGGGCCCGGCCCCCCCACCCCGCCCCTCCCCCTCCCCTCCCCTCCCCTCCCCTCCCCTTTCCTCTCCTGTCTCTACCCTCTGCCCCCTCCGCGTCCTCTCGGCCCCTTTCCCCGGCCCCATCCCTACTCCCCCGCCCTCACCTGCCCTCACTGTTTCTCTCTCTCACAGCCTGACTTCTGCCTTCCTCACCTACCTCCCTCAGCGCTTCGCCCACCCTCCGCCCGCCCTCTCCCCAAGTTCCTTCCTACTTCGAGCGCCTTCCCCTCCTCCCTAAGCTGAAGGAAGCAGTCTGGGTGACAGGGCGCCTTGTTATGAGAGGGAAAGTTTGGAAGCCGTCAGTGTGGGGTGGTAGCGATGGAGAGGTTGGGGAGAATACTTGTAGGTTTGAGGGGCATCCCCACATATCAGAGGAGAACGCACTTGGAGCTAATTGGAGGCCAGCGGGACAGGAGGTTCTGGACCCTCATGCCTTAGGCTTGAGGAAGATTCAGGAGCCTCTTAAGATCCTGGGAGAAGACAGAGTTGTGATTCTAACCTCTCTCAAACCCCAAATGAATTAGATCAGTGATTGTCTGATGGATCTAGTATGGGGGATCTTTGCTGGTACCACCCCAGCTGGCAATTGGGCAATTGTGGGGTTACAGTCTACATTTTATATGATCTTCCTGGGGAGGGAACAGCAGGGGCCAGAAACTGGTAAACTTCCTAGTGGCCTGTCATTATAGGAATTTGCCCACACTCTACACACAAAAGTGTCCCTAATGGGATAAAGGGGCCTGGCCCTTCATATGTCTAGAAATGAGGCTATGATTTTTTGGTCCATTGGAGTTGAGGCACTGATCCTCTGCCCTGTAGGGACTAGGCTTGAAAAGGATGGTTGTGGACTTGGCCAGCAGATCCCTGAGATCTTTATAGGCATTTACTCACATTATTAAGGATCTTTCCTTGAGAGTGTCTTGGGCTGTGGTGGTCTCAAGTTGGGCAGATTTCTGACAGTCCGTTCTCACTCCTTATGGTTGCAGGTGTGGGCTAAGCTGGCAGCCCCGGCTTTAGACTGGACCCCACAATGTTTGCAGAGATGTTCAGGTAGAGTGTTATGGTAGAGAACTCTTGCTCATTCTCCCTTCCAGCTTTCTGAGGGACTCCCCTTGCCATTGAGACTTCCCTTGAATTTCCTTGGGTCTGCTCACAACCTTTGCCTTATGGGAGTCCTCCCTCAGGTACCTAGCCCAGTTTAATCCTCCTAATGCCCACATGGATGTCTGTGTTATCAGGCACGCGGGAGCTGATTACACACAATGAATGGGGGCAATGAGAGCAGTGGAGCAGACAGAGCTGGGGGCCCTGTGGCCACATCTGTCCCCATCGGCTGGCAGCGCTGTGTACGAGAGGGTGCTGTGCTCTATATCAGGTGTGGATCTTCAAAGTTCTCCAAGACCTATCTGCCTAGTTGCCTGGGTTTTCTTTCTCCCACCCCTCTTCTCAAAGCTCTTCAGCATTTTTATTCTGTTATTTCTGTTATCTTGTTATTTTCTGTTTTATTCTGTTATTTCTGAGCTTTTGAATCATTCTCCCTTTTTTTTCTTCTCATATCACTTATTTTCTGCCTTTCCTGGGAAAGTCTTTTTTTTTTTAACTTGGGAACTGTCCTTTAGGGAGTTATCTTCTGAGACATTGTCAGCTAACTTGATATTCTCTGATACTGTCCTCTCCCAGCCCAAGTGGCACAGAGCTGTCTTCCTTGGAGCAAACCCGGAGCTACCTCCTCAGTGATGGGACCTGTAAGTGCGGTCTGGAATGTCCACTCAATGTCCCTAAGGTGAGAGTTGTGAGGGGTTGAATAGAGTACAGGGATAAGCCAAAAGACTTAATGCAAATAACTGACCTTGGTAGCTCTCCTCACATGTTCCATCCCCTCAGGGTTGCTGTCTTTGCCTTCTACTTTACAGGTTTTCAACTTTGACCCTTTGGCCCCGGTGACCCTGGGTGGGGCTGGGGTGGGGCCAGCATCAGAGGAGGACATGACCAAGCTGTGCAACCACCGCCGGAAAGCTGTTGCTATGGCAACTCTGTACCGCAGCATGGAGACCACCTGCTCACACTCTTCTCCTGGTGAGTCTTTTGCTCCTTTACCAAAGACTGAGGAAAACCTAAGGGTGGGGAATATGCATGGTGGGAGGGGCTCTATGAGAGGTTACATGGAGAAGAAGGAGTTAGGTAAGGAGCTGCTTAGTGAGAAGAGCAGGGGAGGTTGGGAACCTGGGGGAGATGGGACTGAAAAATAGAAAATAAAGTTTTTAGAAGGGAAGCTGCAGGCTGACCTTTCATTTCTCTTTTATTGCAGGAGAGGGAGCAAGCCCCCAGATGTTCCACACTGTGTCCCCAGGGCCTCCCTCTACCCGTCCTTCCTGTCGAGTTCCTTCTATAACTCCACTTAATGGGGGTCCTGGCTCCCTTCCCCAAGAGCAACCCTCAGTTCCCCAGGCATTCCCATCTCTAGCAGGCCCTGGGGGACTCTTCCCACCACCAAGGCTTCCTGATCCAGTTTCTTCTGGGGGCAGCAGCAGCCCCTGTTTTCTCCCAAGGGGCAATGCCCCCTCTCCAGCCCCACCTCCTCCACCTGCTATCAGCCTCAATGCCCCCTCTTACAACTGGGGAACCACTCTCCGATCTAGCCTGGTGCCCTCTGACCTGGGCTCTCCTCCAGCCCCTCATGCCTCTTCCTCACCACCCTCAGACCCTCCTCTCTTCCACTGTAGTGATGCCTTAACACCCCCTCCCCTGCCCCCAAGCAATAATCT